TTTTTTTTTTTTTTTTTGGTTAACAAAAAAAAAAAAAAAAAAGAATAAAAATCAGCCCCCTGCCTCCTCCTCCTCCTCCTCTTCTTCGGAGCGGATCAAGCGCTACTGCAGCATCTGCCATCCACCATGCGCTCCACCGACGAACTAAGCACAGGATCCACATCACCATCTGAATAAACGGCTGGCAATGTAATATTATATTTTTGGTTCAAATATATATTGAAGGAGCTTTATTGTATGTCTTAGAATTTACATTCAGCGGGAAGCAGCGCGGCCTTAAAACTGCAATGCAAGGCTTACCCAGGCCTGCTTCCAATCCGATTCCTTTACATTTCGTCCCAGAGTGACCAAAAGCTTAAACTTTCGAATCAAAACAAATGATCTATATGTTGTTGTTGTTGTTTTTTTTTAACTAATTACTTATGTGTGTGAAGCACGCATTAAAACACAATAACAATCGGCACCGATGTCGCCTTCTGCTGCCCTGCGCCTGTAGGGATGCTCTTTACCTTACCGCGCAGCTGCTTTCTGAAATCCCTCTGATATTACAGTCAGCGCAAGGTCACGCAGATGCAGCTGATACCGCTACTGTTTGCCGATCCCGCTCAGTGCAAACTAATGAATCTGCATCCAGAGTGAAATGGACGGGGGCCGCTGGTCCAACAGCAAATTTCTCCTCAAGGTACCATCCTATCCTCCAATGCGAGGCTGCTTCTACGAATTGCACCCCAGACCCGTGAAAGGGGAGGGGAAAGTCACACACCATCCTATCTTACACTTCCGGTTTATCTTTCAAAAGAATGCACAGGTGTTTGTTGGAAATAAAAATAAAGAGGCACCTAAAGCCGCTTGTTAAGATACAGATGCTTTTTATGATGAAATCTGAAAGTCTTTGAATCCGTTTTAGTGTGTCTAACTCTGGGTTGGTTCTTGTGTTACGGTTTCTAGGCGACTTGTTGGTATTTGAAGGACTTAGAGAAAGATCCTTGAGAAGCGTCATCAAGGAAGATGAAGTGTGAAGTACCTTAGGGTTGTGCACTTGGATCCTTTTCAGTTTTATTGCACATTTTGAGTCTGAAGCGTGCCATCTGCACTCATACTGTGACGTTAATGCCCATGCCATGTTGATATTCAGTTTCATATTAACGCAATGTGGTTTAAAGTGTTTTATGGGGAGAACAAGGGAACAGAGATGAATGACCAAACTAGGCATCAAAAGAGAGCACATTATTCACGTTTTAGCATCTCTTCATTAGCTAGCGGTAATTTTTTACTTGATTGTAAGATCTTGTTGATGTCCAACAGTTTACACCATTGTACACCTCTCTGATGTCCTAACACCGTAAGTCCCTGGCCAAATAAATTCCTCATCCAAAGCCATATTGGTTGTGCTACAGTCTCATCTGAGAACCAATGAGGTTAGATTTTTAGTTTTCTTGCAGAATTTATTTGCAGCAATCTCCCAAGGGAGATAGACTTGTTAAATATTTTTTTTTCCGTTTAAATGACTTTGAAATACATATTGTTTATCATTATATTTTTCTTTCTGCACTATCAAACAGTTTTTTTTTGGGGGGAAGGGGGTATTTCTTTTGTTTACTTTAATCTTTTAAGTCAACAGTTTGTAGGCATGTGTTAATCTGTGTTTCGTTACTTGATTTAATTTCCTTCCACTTGATAAAAAAGATAATTTTTACAACTGTAAGTTAAAAACATTGTAAATCCAACTCTTTTTCTTAAGTAGAAAGAATTTGTATTCAATTTATTTTGATGTGCCTGTATCTTATATTATATAATAATAATTGTGATATTTAGTTCAGGGTTTTATCACTCATGACAATGCTTTTGTCAATTTACGGTCCAGATTTTAGTATTAAAAAGGTTTTATTGTGTGTGTGTGTCACTAGTGACCTTTTATCTTTTCTTTATTATTATTTGAAGGTCGTTAAATGAATTTCCGGTGCGGTTCGCGTTGTCCTTGGGTGACTTGACACAGCGCGCCTCTTTTCTTCCACTTGTGCGGGGCTGAGTGAGGGAGAAGGGTGGAGGGAGCGAAGATGCTATGCGCATGCGCACAAAGGGAGGCGGATGCAGCAGCAAAGCATCAGCTGCATCACGTCAGCCGGACGGAGCAGACAGGAAGGAGCAGAGCCCCGTGGGCAGTTGTCCGTGGGTTCACCACAGTAAAAGTATCGCCAAATCATTTTGCTGGGATGAATATCATTCAGAGCTGCAGCCGCATTGTGCGTGGTTGATATTCGTCTTTATATGAATTCAAATGATATTTCTGGGCTTCACATTTCAATAAAACGTTGATTAAAGAGGTCAGCGACGTTTTATTTTGGCACCATAGAGCAGAATGCCGCATGCTACTCGGTGACTCTTGACACTTTGTTAATCGGCTGCTGCACCGGCTCTTGTCCCAGCCATTCTTTATCCCTTTATCTGTTTTCTGGCTGGGAATCAGCAGAGGATTTTTTGCGCAGTTTTTGCACGGCCCAGACATGACAGGAACCACGGTGATGGGTCCTCTGGGCTCGTCTCATTGACTGTCGTGAGCTCATCCACAGCTTTCAGGCCCGGTTCCAACATCTCGGATCTATTTCCTTATATGATGATAATGATGGTCCGATAAGGTGTAGTTTTGGATTTTCTTCTCTTTTTTTTTCTAACAGTGAGGAGAACACGTTCACTGGTATGATGAAGATTTGGAGCACCGAGCATATTTTCAGGTTGGTACCGCTGAGATTTGTTGTTTTGAGCTTTATTAAAGCTTCAAACAATCTGTATGTTATTGTAGTTCTGCGATGGTGAAATATGTAGCTTCATAATGATTGTTTTTCAGTCAGTAAATCCTGTTTGACCAATGGGCAGTGGCGGTTTTTGCATTAATGATGCCCTGGGCAAGCCCCTCCTTCTGAACCAAAAAAAGGGAATCCATATTGGCAACAAAACAAAGAAGCAACAACAAAATAAACCTACTTTGATAAATACATTGCGGACCAGGAAAACCCTAGCAGAGCTTGAGTTTTCTAGATGAGGTGACCCAGTCATCCAGTTGTTACAATTCGACTCTGCATGGGCTGAAGTGTAACAAGCAATTTGTCAAACTTGCTTAAATCACTCCACTCACCTAAATTGTTCCTGATTTTAACACAACAGCCTTTAGGACACAATGTTCACTTGCTGACTAATGGGATAGACACGGGAGGTGATGTGTCGCTACTTCTCCATTCATTTCCTGTGGAACATGTGCAATGAGGTGGCAACTTGCCCTCCTCCTCCAAGTGGTGGACAAAATTTGTGCGTGTAAAATTTAAAGCTCGTGCACATGTGGGTAACCGATGCAATACAAGAAAGTTGAAAAATGTTCAACTTTTGACGGTGCCATCACTATCGCGTCTCATGTGTTGGGATCACCCCAAATGGCAGAAAACTGTAACTTTTCACTGTCATTTGTCACTCTGAGGCTGTAAAAGAGCCCGTCCACTAATATGTGTGATGAACAATCATTTTTGTTAACGTCACCTCTCAATGGATATAATGTTATCCCTGATCCCTTTTGGAAGAAAAAAACAAAACAAAACATAGCAAAGCTGCTGTAAATAACATGATCTGAATTTGAAGCATGTTGCACAAATTATGCAAGCTCTTCCTTAGCATCCTGATTTGTTGTTGTGCATCCCAGACGAGCCCCCAAAGGTGTTATAGCAGCGACTCCCTAATTTGAAAGAAAAACTTTGTTTGGTTTATTTTGTATATTTGATATTATAAAAAAGAAGGAGAACAAGAGTATATATATAAATAGGGCAAGGCTGCCATAATGGTAACATGAACATTAGCTGAAGATGGAAAAGAGCACCAGAGAATTTTGGATGTTATAGATGTGTTTACATCATTTTATGTAACCCAGGTAGATTGAATTCTTTTTTTTCTTTTACAACACAGAGCAAGCCCTATTTTGTCCGACAACAGCAAATATTTGATGTTTTCCATCTTCTTGCTTCTGACTAATTATGCTCCGATTTGTGTGCAGTTACCCGTGGGAGACTGTGATCAAGGCTGCCATGAGGAAGTACCCCAACCCCATGAACCCCAATGTGGTTGGCGTGGATGTGCTGGATCGCAGTCTGGACTCAGAGGGACGCCTTCACAGCCACAGACTCCTCAGCACAGAGTGGGGACTACCGTCTATTGTACGAGCGGTCAGTCAAAACCACTGAGATGTTCAGAAACATTTCTACATTTAGGTCATAAACAGGGAGTTTATTCCTGTCACTGTTCTTGAAGCATCTTCCTTCAGACTGGCTTGAGTATTTATGTGTGTGTAGATACTGGGGACCAACCACACACAGACATATGTGAAGGAACATTCTATAGTTGACCCAGAGGTGAAAAAGATGGAGTTGTGCTCAACAAATGTGAGTCAGTCCCAACATTTTATTCAGAAATGTGCTGCCTTTGAACCTGAAAATCTGCCAATGTGAGTGGGTGAACTGTGGCACAGTTTACACCTATCTGTAATCATTATTTCTCCAGTATAAAAATGTACATATAAATGTCGTAGTCGTAACATATTTTGAATAAATTGTACCCACCAGATTACTCTCACCAACCTGATATCCGTAGATGAGAGGCTTGTTTACACACCACACCCAGAAAACCCAGAGGTGTAAGTCACCATCTCTCCATTTTTCACTTAATTTCTTGAAGATTGTTGTCAGAGAGTGCATGTTACACGAAGTTTAGGAGGACAATAAGATGCGACATCTCCCAAGATGTCACGACGGTCACTTCTTATCTTTCTGTATGTGTCCGTGTCTGCTCCTCAGTACTGTACTGACACAGGAAGCCATCATCACGGTGAAGGGAGTCAGTCTGAGCAGCTATCTGGAGGGCCTGATGGTCAGGAGCATGTCTGCCAACGCCCGGAAGGTAAGACGGAAATAAAACCTTTTTATCTATAGTTTCTCTTTGAATGAAGATCTTTAGCTAAATTCTGCCTTGCAGAAGCATTCATGCTTTGTAACGCTACAACCACAAACTTTATGTTTGTTATTGGGATTTTATGTGACAGACCAACAGAATGTATCACATATTTGTCAAATTGAAAGACACGAGTCTGAAGATACGTTTTAGAAAACTCAAAAGTCCGATGTTCATTTATTCAGGCTTAGAGGGATGTAAGATCAACATGGCTCCCAGTTTTAATATCTTTTCATCACTAGACACTCAAAGACAGTGTGTGCAGGAGAGCTAAACTGTCCTGCTGAGACGGACGTCTGTTGCTTTATGAAAATGTCCAAACGAGACCGGAAAGATTGAACTTTAAAAGTGAGAACATTTAGAAGTGGTGATACTTGTTAAACTCACTTCATTACATGAAATAATAAAGATGTGTTATCCTCATATGACCTTTGCATATAAGGTCATGTTTTGGTTACTTTGCTTTTTGTGGTAACACTTTAGCTGCCAGAGAAGTGAACATTAACATTCATAGCATTTCTTACAGTATTTTGTACGTTTGTGCTCACTGTCTTTTGTCCATCCATAGGGCTGGGACGCTATTGAGTGGGTCATCCAGAACTCTGAAGGGGACGATGTACCACTCTGTGACATTTACTAACACTGGTAGCTTTGCCTTCCTTTAGACATTTTCTACTAGATCCCCAGAAGAAACCATAGAACATGCTCTGTTATTCGTATCGTAGGACTCCAGATCCACTGACGACTGCTTTCCTCAGCCGCTCCTCGTGCCTGAAAGGGGACCGAGGGGGGAATTCTGAGCATCTTCCGGTCCTCTGCAGATGGTTCTTTCATGTGAAGAAAACTAAACCTTTGCCAAAGCAAAAACGGTTCTTGAAATTTTCTGGGACTGCGTTGCCAGGTTTGGCGGTTGTGACTCATTTCCAGCTCCTCATTTATAATCCAATAACGGTTAAACCACATGGCAACAAAACAGAGACCTGTGTCTGCTAAGCAAACCTAGCAGACTTTACAATCTTGAATGTCACTATTGTACTTATGAAGTGACACTTTGGGAAAAACACTCGATATGGAAGACGGACGCAACAAGAAGGTACACGCCAATGTTTTTTTTTTTTTTTTTTTTTTAAACAAGGTACAGCATATTGTTATTATGTAACTGTCTCAAAGGCTTTACTTGGACTAGTTTGATACCATATGAAAACTCCTACAGTGGGAAACGGGTTAAAATATGGAGATGCTACTGGTGCTTAATTTGTGTTACACTGGACAAAAAATGTTATATTACTGATTGGGCATGATTTATATTTGCCGCATTAGTTTCAGTCCTGGATCGCCAATATTTTTCATGTGTAACATCAGCTTTATCTGTGTCAGTCTTCATAGTCTTCATTTGTTTTCCATGCAAAATAAATATGATTAGATGAGACAAAGATTATGCATTCGTACCTGAAAACACTGCAAGCAGGGTGGTGATACCATCATGCTGTGGGACTGATTTGCACCCCCTCTCTCCACTGGTATTTTTGGATCTGATATCTCTGTAGACGTGATCGCTGAATTTTTCAACTGTGTCTTGACACAACAGCCAAATGTCCGAATTGGAAACCGTTGAATGTTCTGGTAAAGGTGGTTTTAAAATTGCTATAACAGTTTAGCATTAAGCCTTAACACAATTAAAAATGTATAGAATGCATTTAAGAGCTAACTCTGTCTCAGGAAATCCACCACTTTGAGAGGTCAAATATTCATCCTGGGTAATAAATTTTATGCTTATCGATCTAATCAAGTTGAAAGGCATACTATTTTAAGATCACCTTTGTGGAGTCATACCAATACAATACTTAGATTATGCAGGGGATGTGTTTAAAAAAAACACACACACAATATGCGGTCATCCAGGTCTGAAACCAACATGGAAAGTGCAAATCTTGCACAATTTTGCAAAACATGAAGGACTTTGGAGAAAAAAAAAAAAGATGAATCTGAAAGAAAAAAAAAACATGGATATGAATGAAATACCGGACTGTACCATCAAAATTCCCTTCATCTGATATTTAACATCAATGAGTGTTTTGGAAACGTACCAAGAACAGATGAAGAAGAAGACACGGTGGTGTCCAAGGTGGGCAGATGTTGGCATTTATCTGGCCTTAAAGCGACACGAGTGTTTTGCTTTCATGCCTTTGCCAGTCATACACCTCATGCTTCCAGACGACGCGCCTGTCCATAGATGCAACCTTCGCATCCTGGAGATCAGGAGCAGTACTGCATGTGCGGTGATGCAAACTGGGACTAATGTGCTAAAACATGTTTCTGGATAGCAGTAAATATAGCATATTTGTATAAATGATATTTTAAACATACATTTAGTGAATGCTACTGCTTTCATTTTGTGTTGCATAAAAAATATTTGTATACTTTTTTGTTTTGAAGCGCAACATTTGCCTGGCTGCAATGAAAGAGATGCTAAAATAATTAAAGCAGAAGTGAAAACAATGAGTGATCCAAACTGGTCTGTCGTTTCGAAAAGATAATGAGTTCAAATTGGACTGAAATATAAAACGGTTGTTCACACAGTGTCTGAACTCTGACCCAAAGCCAAACTGATGGCTATAAAATAGTGAACAAGTGTAAGCCAATGGCCCCACCAGACAGGCCAGTGAGAACATAGAGATGTTGTGAAATGAGACTGAAACTGAGCTGCTTGCTTACAAGGAAAAGTCTGCATGTGGCTGAAAACTAGCAACACACGTCACCCTAAATGCACCACCACCATCGCTGTGCTTAAGCAAACATACGGCTACAATGTAGATTAGATTAGAGTAAGTAATTCATGCAGCCGGAGGACTAACCAAATATTGTGTGCATAGGAATGAACATACCATTCAGAAGCCTGACCTTTTTTTTTTTACTTAAAGTACCTTTTGTTATTGTTCTCATGTAGTATTCAAGTTTTTTCGGGTTTCGTTGTCTGTAGTGAACTGCAGGTGTTAAAATACTCCAAAGTCCAATTGAGAATTTGCAGGAAAAGGTTGAAAACAATGTTTATCGATGCCGTCCTTCCAATCTGACTGAGATGGAGCCGTTATTCGACAGAGAAGAGGAAGTGAAATTTATGGTTCCGACATCGGGTGCGATAAGCTCAAGAGTGTCAAAAATTCAAAAACACATGTATTTGGGTGTTTGTTTTGATTAGAGAAACACGAGTCGCTGATTCCTCCCCGGACGTTATTAGATTCATCGACCCCAGTTGACACAGGGTTAAACAGTGACCAAGACTGACTGGACGTCATAGCTGCTTGAGAGATACAGGAGAGAATGTGTGTGTGTGTGTGTGTGTGTGTGTGTGTCTGTGCTCCATTCCAGAGATATCTGCTGGCTCCACAGAGAATAACACGTCTCTGCAGCATAAAAGGCTGACCCAGTCATCCCATCTTGACCCGCAGAGTGTCACAGATAAATATTTATACGCCTCCACAGGTGTATGAGCACAGTCTTCTGAATGACAGGTTTTCTACCTCAACAAGAGCAATAAAAACTTTTGCAAGCTACAAAGTTTAAAATGTTCTGTGACTGAATGAAAGAATAGTATAAAAAAAAAATCTAAAAACATAAATACAATTCTTTGTGTGTGTCAAAACTTCTGTCAAATATTTGCATCACATCAGTTTTGATAATGGCACCCATATCTCAACCCAAAACGTAGTGCTTAAAAAAATTTATATTTTTGCATTGTTTAAAAAAAAAAAAAAAATTGGACAACCACAATATGGTTACTGAACAGCAACACCCATCAATTCGGTGCTACAGTTCCCCCTTTGGCCGATAGATGGCACACTTTTGCCGTTACAAACTACTTCTAAAGCCCGTTCAACGCCAAGAGGTCCCATGTTTTCAACCACAAAATGAAGTGTTTGGCTATTAAACTGTGTATAGTACTGATGAATTCAAGTTTTTAAGTAACTTCACAGTCCTACAAAACAGGACAGACAGCACTGATCAGCTTATTTATTAAACATAAAAACAGACCGCATTGCATAGCATGTACATAGTTCCTCAAAGTCTGAGCAGTGACAAAGGCCCCTTTTACACAGAAAGTCCACTTCTTTAAACCTAAAGTGTGAAAGTTGAACCAGTCGCCAAAAGTCTCAAGAAATAAATATGTAAACAACACAATCAGCTGGGTGTTTGAAAACATGCAGGAGTCTTCACAAAAAAAAAACAAAACAAAAAACCAACTTTGGTTTCAGAGCGTTGCACCTTAATTAACTCCTCCGTAAAATTAAACGCAGAAAAAAACCCCAATAATAGTCAGAGTTTAGAAAAGGTGCAACCAAGACGGAGATTTTGCCGGTGTTGCTTCAAGTTTTGTAAAGGCACACCACAGTTACAGAGGCTTTGATTACATTTGGTAATACTGCACTCAGTTGCTGCTATGACTGCCAAAGCAGAATAAAAAAAATAAAAAAATAAAAAAAAAATCAAATCCATATAAAAGTGGAAAAAAGCATAAAAACAAAACATCTTGTTTCTCTTCCCCGTATGCATTTTCCCCTTCCAATTAAAGCAGACCACAGTTCCACATAAAACATATTGCACCTTCCCAAGAGTGGAGGCCTTTTAGCATCACTACTTTAATCCATTTTCGATTGAAAAAAAAAATCGAACAAATTTGAACAAAAATAGAACTTACATCCCATAAACAAGGGAATAGACCGTATTAAAACTGAAAACTTCAGCCAGATATTCCCTTTCCCTCCCCCCCCCTCCTCACCACATTCCTTTCATTCTTCATCACATTCAATCACTTTCGAATGCTTCTTTTGATCTCATCCAAATATTCAAACCAAATAAAATTGCATAGTTGTCCCACAGCCTGTGTCCTCTCCAGGTCCGTGTTGCAAGTAAATGTACATCCAGGACATGATCGGTTTATGAAACAAAATAGAAAAACATCTTTGTACAAGAACAATATGTACAGTCCAGTCCATACTTCTGGAGTTTTCTGAAGAAGTAGGGGAGTGTGTGTGTGTGTGTGTGTGTGTGTGTGTGGGTGCGTGTGCACACGCGTGTGTTGCAGAGATCAGAAATTAAACAGACTGATAAAGTCCTGAGGGGAGAGGGACGTGGTGCAGCTTTCGGGATTGTTGGCCGTGCAGGGATGGTTCGTATCCTAAGAACAAAAGCGGAGACAGTCGTTAGACGGTGAGTCGAAACGCTTCCTTTCGACGGAGCAGAAGACGGAGATGTACCTTCCAGAAGAGGATGTGGCAGTGTGTGCAGAGGTGCAGCGTGTCACTGTACTGCTCTCTATGAGCATAGCAGCGGCTCAGCTTGAAGTACATTTTCTTCCACTCCAGGTGACCCTTCTCCGACACCATCAGACGCTTGCGGATCTAAAAAAGGGGAACACAGACTGCTTAAGGAAACCCTAACCCGTAAGAGAAAGATTCGCAGCTACAAAAACCCAGCAGGAAGTTGGTAGCGGTCTTAAGATATTTTTGCCAAACTGAATACAAGCTGAATGTAGAGAACCTTTATGAAATGCTGTGGTATAAAAATAAGTCTTAAGTTGCAAACTGGCCAATAAACGACTTTATCAGACATTGGTGTGGTCCTCCACGCCAGTGTCCTCCTCCCCTCGTCGTCTTCATACCTGTCTGTCTGTGAAGTGGTACTGGCAGAGTTTCTTCCACAGCAGGCGGTCCTCCGTCAGGGCCCCCAGCTCCGGACACACCTGTCCCAGGCTGACCAGGTCCCTGCCGTCCGTCAGCCGCTGCATGATGTTCAGCTGCAGACTGGCAGGCAGGTCAGTCAGCGACATGCCCATGGCCGCAGGCTGCAGGAGGGCGAGATGCCGTTAGAAACAGAGTCGTGACCTTGTCGGGATGTGCGATGCGGACAGACGCTCACTCTGTTGATCTGGATGTTGTCCAGCTGCTGCTGCCACTGCAGGATGTTGTCCATGCGGTGGACCCAGATGTTGATGTTCCCCACCAACACCGACTTGCCCATGTCCTGGACGAGGCCGCACAGCGACACGTACAGCGTCTGCAGCAGCTCTTTGATGGGACGGACGTTCTGCTGGTCATCGAGAACTGAAACGGATCATTAATCTTGATGTTAAAAAAATAAAATAAAATTCAAATCTTTAGGATGTTGCATGGAAATTTCAACAGCAAAGCTTCAATCTGTAGCTAAAAAAAACCCCAACAACAACAACAGATTTTTAGCTACAGATCGCAGCCACTCTGAAATGAGTGGCTGCGATCTTCTCAGTTGCATGTATGCGATTTGGCCAGAAGGTTTTGTGACGCTCCCTAAACAACCGAAGTCTGTTTAGTTGAAGGAACATTTAGTTTACACTGCAGCTTGCAGAGGGGTCTGCTGACTGTCAGGGTTCTACACAGTGAAGTTAGAGAGCCAAGTCCAAGCTGTCTTGGCTAATTTTCTCACCTACAATAATAAATACTAAAACACTTCTTCACACCCCACGTTTTGTCGCACTTTAACCACAAACTTTAACGTAGTTTGTTAGTTAAGTTCCCACCCAGGTTGATGCTTCTTCTAATCCCATTTTACTACAATTACAGCTGATGCTGGTAGTTGTAATGCGATAAAGATAGCGAATCTTTCAAGAGGTGACACTTCCACAGCTTCATTTATTGCCTTTAAGAAATACATAGAGTCACTTTGAAGCAAAAATAGTAAAGAAATTCTAAGACATGCAGATGCAAAGAAACGGAAAAGGGCAAAAACAGGAAGTAGATTCTCAACTTTGCTTGTGCAAATATTACTACTTGTGTTTTGTTGTTTTTTTTTTTTTTTCCTGAGACCCAAGTGATCAGCGTGGATGTACACAAACACACACACACCCACGCACAGGAGGCGTGACAGGGCTCACCTTTCTGAACAACCCTCTCCAGAATATTCATGTAGTTTTTCTGCGCCACGCCGCTGAGCGAGGGGAGCTGCGACTTGGCGATAAGCTCCAGGAGCTGCAGCAGAAAAAGAAAAAAAAAAAAAAGAAACATAAATTTCTCCCCGTCAGCCTCCGAGACGCTCTGTTCCACCGCCTCCTTACTTTGTGTTTAGTAGGCTGCTGGATTCTTAGAAAAACAAATTCCAAGCTTGAACATTTGTAACAAAACTCAGAGCTGTCCACCTGGTTATTGCTCTCGACATAAGGTCCATTAGCCTCAGCTCTGATTTGTTTTGATCAGAGTCGCCTTGCGGAGGTGAAGCTTCTGGAAGAGTGTTGGGCAACGGCCTAGACGGGAATCAACAACGTTGGCTGGTGAAAACATAAGCTTGAAGTTATTTGACCCCTGATCATCCAGCCTTGCGAACTAGCTGACTCACTTCTCAGAGTGTGTGTGTGTGTGTGTGTGTGTGCATGCGTAGTTGTTGCCACTGGCTCACAGACATGCAGCGGGCTAAAAGGGTGGCTCATCTGACAGGCACTGTGACGTCATGGAGAAACTCAAAATCAAAGC